GATCCACAATCAACACCCATGGAAGCAGCAGTCAGGAAATCAAACGATGCATTGCACTGGGCAAATCTGTTGCAAAAGACCTCTTTGAAGTGTTGAAAAGCAAAGATGTCCCCTTGAAGACTAAGGTGTACCTAACCGAAGCCATGGTGTTTTCAGTCACCTTACATGCATGCAATTGCTGGACGATGAGTAAGGAAGATCGAAGAAGAACTGACTCCTTTGAATTGTGGTATTGGTGAAGAATATTAAATATACCATGGACTGCCAAAAGAACAAACAAATCTGTCTTGGAAGACGTACAACCAGAATGCTCCTTAGAAGCAAAGATGGCGAAACTATACCTCACATACTTTGGACATGTCATCAGGAGGGATCAGTCCCTGGCGAAGGACATCAAGCTTGGTAAAGTAGAGTGTCAGCAAAAAGGAGGAAGACCCTCAACAAGATGCACTGACACAGTGGCTGCAACCAAGGACTCAAGCATAACAAGGATTTTGAGGATGGTGCAAGACCTCGCATTGTTTCATTCTGTTGTATCTAGGGTCGTTATGAGTTGGAACCAACTTGATGGTACCTAACAACAACAACAATAGTTATAAAATAAAGTACGAATACTCATCAGTTCTGTTGAAAGTGTTCAGAAAACTTATCTTTATTTTAGCTTGAGCAAAGACAAACTATATACCTGGAAAATTGCAAACCATGTCAGTCTCCCTTCACAAGTAACAGCCTCAAAAATTGTTTGATCATTTAAATGACAAATATGATTTTGCATGTTCATTTTCAGAACTAATGCAGTAGAAAAATAATTTGTTTTCCACCAAGAACAATCATGTAGAATTCTGGCAAAATCTCCTTTGTAACTTAAAAAAAAAATTAAAAACAGACGAAAACAGCCGTTACAATGGAGCAAGAGAATGTTTATCTTCCTCTCTCCTCCTTCCTTCTCTCCCTTCCTTCTTTATTAAAATCTGTTCTCTAGTAGTAGAATGACATGTGAAGGAAGAATTTGATATATATTTGAGCACCATAGCCACACTGCCCGCTGAGGGACAGAACAACAACATTGATTAGGTCACATTGTATTCAGCATCTTCTGCTCTATTCTTTTCTCCATAGAATAATTCCAGTAAAACTTATTTTGAAGTGAATCATTATAAAAATCTTTCTTCCCTCTCCCCGAAAAATGTGTATTCCTTGGCTATGATCATTTTTAAACAAAATATCTCATTGGATATTATTAATTCAATTTAACTTTTGCGCAAAATTGCATTTAAAGAGAAATGTAAACAGTTGTGCATTTTATAAGGACAGATTCTTGAATCTATTTTTTCTTTTTATTTTCTTTAAGAGACTTTTTTGACCTTTCCGAGCAGCTCCACTGGGGAGGACATTGGCAGAACTTTGTGTGTCTTCACGCATAGCATTTGATGAGAATTTAATAAGACAGAAAATAATACTTTGCCAAGTTATTAGCTTTAAATCTCTTATTTTCTTTAGAATTTCATGATTTATGGAATACCAAAAACTCAGGGAGATGACTCAGAAAGAACTTGAACTTTCTAGTTTCCTACAGCATTTAAAAGTCTTAGCTGTATAACTTAGCTGAATAACACCATTATCAATATTTCAATCCTGTTAACCAGTGCCCTCCACTTGATTCCAACTCATAGTGACCCTATAGGACAGAGTAGAACTGACCCATAGAGTTTCTATGGAGCAGCTGGTGAATTTAAACTGCTAATCTTTTGGTTAGCAGCCAAGCTCTTAACCACTGTGCCACCCGGGCTCCAGTATTTCAATAAAACCTATGAATTAGTATGAATCAGTCATTTGTTCATTTGCATCTCACCCCAGTGATATCAAGCTGTTTAACATTTGCTATGTAAAATCGTTTGCTGTGTAAAACCATGGGCATCTGCTCTATTAAATAGCAAAAGTAATGCCCTATTTAATCACATGGTTTCTAAACTGTAGGAAAATAAAGATTTTGTAAAGATTTGCTATGTTTTAGGATAAAGATAAGCATCATTTCATTGATGTGATGTCACCCCCTCCTCCGTCTCATCTATCTCTTGTATATTTGCCAGATATTACTGGTTCAATCTCAGTTATCCACTTCCTAACATTCTAGACTCACACACAACAATCTCACCCTGTATGGGTGCTTTTATTGGGACTTATTTATAAAGCACAACATCCAGTTTTATGTTAAGTAGGTGGGTTGCTGATTTGTCAGAATGCCATTCTTTATCAGGCCTTTATGAATTGTTTGTAAGTACCCAACTGGACAAGGAAAGCTTTATATTCGTGCCACAATTAGTCAAAATGATTCTAGTTAAACTCTGGTAAAGATCTCTAGTATGCAATGAATGTAAAGTATTCATGCTTGCTTTATCTTTCGTTATATTTCATTCTGGTTTCATTCTAGCTTACTTATTTATTAAAAAATAATCTTCTAAGTTGCTTTTTCACTGCTTTTCATGTTGCAGATTGAAAATGTTGATGTCTGCCTTAGTTTTCTAGCAGCCAGAGGAGTAAATGTTCAAGGTCTATCTGCTGAAGGTAAGAAAAAGCACAGTTGTCATGAACGGCATCTATGTTTTACAAGATTCTTCCTAATGTAAGAAATGTAAGTTTGGAATATATAGCTCCCTAACATAGTAAAGGAAACCAGTGAAGTTTGCAAAATGTAATAAGCATAAATGTAATGATTACTAAGGTATGCTTTATTTATTTTTCCACATATTATACTAGAATTGTTCTTTTACATGAGGGAGTGTATGGGAAGGGAGGATTAACGAAATATTGTCATGCCGTTACTGAAACACAGTGTTATTATTAGAGTCTTGAGTAGAGGGGTAAATGGATATATAGATGGTTGGATGGATGGATGGATGGATGGATAAATGCTAGATAATAGATGGGCATAAATACCAGTAAAGAGAGTATAATTAATGCTCAACTTTTACGTTATCAGTAATAACATTTCTACAGTATATACTAGTTGATAATAGTCAAAATATTTGAAAAGTTTAAATAAGTGCTCCTGAGTTGTTAAATAATTAGCACTAACAATATTAATAACTGTTATATGTAAAGGAATTAAAATCATTAAAGGTTTGAAAGATCATAATTAAAGTTGAAACATAGCAAAGTGAATCTCTTTTCTTCCACATATAAATGTGACAAAAGTTTGCAAAAACTTGCTGTTCATAATATGGACTTTGCCATACTTAAGAAAACTAACTGATGTTTTTGTTTCCTTTTCCTTCCCTCCATCATCAGTCATTCTATTCACCATCATTCCTTATTTCCACCTGTCTATTCATTTATCGAAGAAGCCCTGGTGGCGCAAGTGGTTAAGTGCTCAACTGCTAATCAGACTGTCAGCGGTTCAAACCCACCATCTGCTCCATAGGAGAAAGATGTGGCAATCTGCTTCCATAAAGATTTACAGCCTTCAAAACCCTATGGTGCAGTTCTACTCTGTCCTGTAGAGTTGCTATGAGTCAGAATCGAGTCGACAGCAGTTGCTTTGGGTTTTGGTATTCATTTATCATTCTGTATTTTAACTATCAGATTCATGAAAGTGCAATAAGAAATTTTTTGCTAATTTAGATTAAGAATACAGCCACTTCCTAACAAGTGAAATACTTGAATTTTAATATATATTTATAAATATTTCTAAAATTTCAAGCACTATTAATAATAATCAGTTGACAAAAGTTATGAAATACCAAGTCCTCTGGGGTGTGCATCAAAAAGAATCATTTTAATTAGAATATTAATTTTATATTAAAAATCTTCTAGATACTTTTATATAAATTATACCTTTCGATAACTTAAGTTGGTCAAATTTTTTACTACAGTTAATTTTCTTAGAAAAGCTTTTCCCCAAACATATTAGAAATATTACATAATTCTAAGTTTTTAAAATTTTGTTGTCATTGTAAAAAGAAATTGTGTAGCTTCTAAAATACAAAGGATATTTTGTAGAATTATTTACTTTTCTCAGTTTTTCTTTTATATTGAAATTTTTAATAATGTAAAATTTTGTGTATATTTATATGTTGTGATGTCTAATTAAATTACACATTTTATTTCCATAAAGCTTAGTTCCAAACATAAGTGGTGATTCTAAGTGGTTAAAGGAAGGCTGGAAATTTGTTTGTTTTATGCCTCTTTCTTCTCACAAGATATCTCTTACTAATATAAACCTATTTGTTTTTATTTATCCTTAAAAAATATAAGCATGTTCAAAAATGGCTTTCTAAATTAATTAAACATACATAATAATAAACCAAGAAATTAAAAAAAAGTCTTTAAACATAACCATTCAACTTTACTTATTAATATTTTTCTTTATCTTCAGATCGGTCAAGCCAAGTCTTCTATATTATGGGAACTGTGAGGAAGGTCTGGATAAAAAAGGAACATCTCAGAGGCTCATTTTATACGAGTAATTCCACTGCATAGTTTGGGTGACATGATAAACCATCAGAGAGCAAGCAACTCAAGTAGTCTATTAATGTTCTAAACTCTAAATGGGGACATAAAACGTGGACCTCAAAGCAGGATGTATTTTATTGCCTGTAGCAACTTTCATGTGAAATATGATTACAGGTTATACTTATTTCAAGCTTTAATCTTTTCTCTTTTTCCTAATAAATTTTAAAGTGACAACTACAGGAGCAAAAACTAGGCCCATGTTGTAGCCTACTTTCTATATTTAATTTTTTATTAACTATTAGAGAAACTTCACAGGAGCCCCATGTGTTGGAACCAAGATTTCCACTTTATTCAATTATGTTGTCTCTCTATATATATATACATATATATGTATACACGCACCGCACATGCACATATATATCTGTTGCTGAATAATTTTGAAGGCATTTTGACTGCTATAAATCCAGTTGATATTCTGAGTTCCACCCACTCTATCGGTATTTATAAATGCAGGTTAACCAACATTTAAGTGGCTTTCTCTCTCCAGTTCATAGCCACTGGTATGTTGGTAACAGCTGTGTATATTTGTGAGGAAAGCAGATTGCTAAATCAAATAATTAGCACAAGACAGAAAGCCTATCCGTTTCTAAGAAGAAGCTAACTCTAGAAAAATTGTCGTTCAGGGATAGCAAAGAGTATCTCTTTTGAGTTAGCTTTATTCTCCCCGCCTTCCATTCCTTTATTCTCTCCTTGAAATTCTAAGCTATATGGAAATGTTAGCATGTTTCAAAAATTTAGGTTTGCTTGAATCTATGACTGAGACTCCAGTTGTACTTCTATCTTCATAGACATGGAAATACACTCTGGATGGGTTTGAACTGCCAACCATTAGGCTAGTAGTCAAGCCCTTAATCTTTTGTGCCACCCAAGGACTCAGAAATTGATATATACAAAAGGAATTTCTTCCTCACTCAAGGAAGTCTAAGAGAATTATATCTAGAATTTCATTTGCAAAAAAAAAAAAAAAAGCATTCAATTTATATTGTGCTGTTTTTATATTTTCCATTTTATGCAGAAATAAGAAATGGAAACTTAAAAGCCATTCTAGGGCTGTTTTTCAGTTTGTCTCGCTACAAGCAGCAACAGCACCATCAACAACAGTATTACCAGTCCTTGGTGGAGCTTCAGCAGCGAGTCAGTCACGCTTCCCCTCAGCCGGAAGCCAGTCAGGCTAAAACACAACAAGATATGCAGTCCAGGTAAGGAAGGAAAGTGGTGGATGTTCTTTAAAATGAGTTTGGCTAGATACAACTTATTTTTTAGCATATTATTGTTTGTGGGTTTGACAGCTTGCATTTTTGTAGTTGTATCAGTGCGCTGGGAGAATTTGATGATGCTATAGAATTAAAGACCATTTTCCTTGTGGTTGGACAAGCAAGATCTAAGTCCTTTTAGGTGAAATATTTTTATTTATTTATTTTATTTAAAGATGATTATTGCTCTGTATCAAAGTGTGTGCAGTGACTTCAGTGCAAGTAATTTGGCATGGCTACTTTCTTCTACAAAGTATTTTAGTGTTTAGAATGTGGTCTTAAGTCTTAGTCTTTTGTTGTGTAGTTGGTTAATTAAACCACTTAAAATGTGCATGTTTGAGAATAGAGTTTTGATGTGATATTGTGTGTGTGTGTGTGTGTGTGTGTGAGTATTTATACACACACATATGTGTTTGTCTGACTTGAGTCCATTGCTGCATGTAGACACAGCCAGGGCTGGAGTTCCCTCATATCATGGCCACTTCTTTCCATTACTGCTTTTTTCCAATTTGGATTTGTATTAGTCAGGGTTCAACCAGAAAAGTAGAACCAATAGGAGACCTATGATAAGAGATTTATGACTAAGAATTAGTTTGCCTGTTTGCAGGGGCTGGCTAGGCAAGTCCAAAAATCCTGAGGGCAGCCTGTCAGCAAGGGTAGGCTGGCACTCTTGGGCATGAGCCGAAACTACTATGTTGTTGAGGATCCTGACTCAAGGCAACCCCTCTGTGTAGACTAGAACTTCATTCCATAGGTTTTCAAGGCTATATGACCTTTTGGAAGCAGATTGCGAGGTCTGTCTTCCAAAGTGCCTCTGAATGCGTTCAGACTGCCAACCTTTACGCTAGTAGTCAAGCACTTAACATTCTGTGCCATCCAAGGACTCAGAAATTGCTATATACAGGAGGAATTTTTACCTCTCTCAAGGAAGCCTTACTCTTGCTTTTAAGGTCTATCATCTGGTTGAATCAGGACCACTCAGATAATCTAGGATAATCTATTTTACTTAAAGTTACCTCATTTTCGACTTTAATGACATCTACAAAATACTTTCTCAGCAACATCTAAATTAATGTTTGATTGAAAAACAGGGAACTGTGGTTTAGCCAAGTTCACGTATTAAAAAAAAAAAATCACAGACTGAAATTAAGTTAACTTAATTAACAGGCAAGTTGCTATACTTATCTGTTTTTGATGACCAGGTTATCTGGTAGGTAGCTCTCTTGAATAAATAACTGTGATTGTTTTTCTTAAGACTGGAGGATATCCAAGGTGAAAATACTCTTTATCATCTTTAAAAATAGATACACAGATGAAATATATGTAAATGTTTAACTTTTTCCATTTTATAAGCCAGGCTGAAACCTGATAATACTCAGTTTAGTAATAGTCTGTTGTTGGTAATGAGTATTGACTCAAAAGGTAAAATAAAAATCCAAAAATACCTTCACAAACAGCCCCCACTTCCTGTCAAATGTTAAGCTCTTCAATAATTCCCTTCTCTTTTGTCTGTCAACCAGCCCTCATGTGGACCTTGTTTCCCTCTTAATGCTAAGCAAATATTTATTTCTCTATAGAGCGATATAAATCCTAGTCCATTTGGCTAATTTTTACCCATTAGTGAATTATTACACCATTAAATAAAAATCATAGTTTAAAAATATATATAGATTATACTATAAAGTCCATGGAATGGTGGGTATATTTCTCACCACTCAATAACACAGATATATTTCTGCTCTTTAATCTTGTCTTGGTTTTTTGTGATGTCAAGTGGAGTTGAGCAGAAGTCAAAGTGAAAACAAAACTTCTCTACAGTGTAAGTTTCTTGAATTTAGTAAAGAATTAGAAAAAAGAAACATATCTTTTTGTGGGTAGTTGGTAGAAAGAAATCTAGATTTTAGAAACTTCCAGAAATAATAATTCCTAGAGTTTGGTTTATGCCATTTGAGTGGACACGAAGCAAGAATGGTAGGTGAAAAAAGAAAGGAAGGAAAATGCTTTTGTGCAAAGCATGTTGATTCTGGAAGTGATATGAAATATCATTTGTCATTGCTTTACCTCATTCTATTTCTGTATCTGCTATGTGGAATTTCTTGTCCAGAATTTCTCTACAGTGATGGCCCTTTTGAGGGGGATATTATTTCTTTTCCTTTTCTTCCTGCTGGGTATACATGACTGTTATGAGTCTGTCAAGTATTTTTAAATATATGACCATATTTAATAGTCAAGGTAATTTTACACTATTTTTGGAGGAGTGTCTTCTTTTTCACTGAAAAGTTATGGAAAGTATTCTTTTCAACATTTCCTTTAAGACTGAAGTACACGCTTAGATAATTGCCTTTACTTTTCAAATTGAATAATTAATTTAGTGAATGTTTACAGAACACTCGCTGTACTAAATGCAGTACTCTCTACTGAGGATATAATAGTGACATGGGCCTTGATACAGAGGAGCTCAAAGTCTAAGGAGTATAAAGAAATATGTCAGAATTCTGTGAGGGTTGATTAAAAAATATTATCATTATTATATTAATTGTAATAGAATGTGTTGTACGTTTTAAAATATTAAAATTTCAGACGTCAATACTTACTCAGATTTGTATAGATTTGATATATTGAATTAGTTAATTAGAATTTATGCGACCTTACGTGTAACAGTTGATATATTTAACCATGTTTCAAAAGCCCATAGTGATAATATACATAGAAAAGGAATGTGGTCACTATGTATTAGAGCCAAGACAACTAATGTAGAAAAATATATCCTGGTGACACATTTATCTTCATTTGTTCAACATATGAGTCATAAATCATGATCTATGAAGCCTTCCTATTGATTCCAAAGTTATTTTCAAGTAAATAGCCTGAATGTCTGGCTGCTATATTATTGTAGATATTTAGCCAGAAAATGTGCTTATATTTTTCTCTTTAGACCAATAAATATTTTGGGGAGGCACACTGTTTCAGTTTAATAAGAGTGTTTTTGTTTTATTTTGTTTATCAACTAGCTGCATATGATTCCATAACATTTATTTTATAGATTAAGAATTTTAAGATTTGGTTTTGCTCTTTTAAAAATAATTCCTAGATATTTTCCATCAATTTGAACATCTTTCATTTAAAAAGAAATTTTGATCTAAAGATTTACAAGTTAAATATACTATCTCTCTCAGCTCCCTCTCTACCCTTGTGTGTGTGGGTAAAATTGTTTTGTGTCTGTGCAGGCATGTGGGCAGATATATCCTGTTAAAATGGCATTTAGGGCTCTTGTTATCAAGAGCTATCCTCTGCAATCAGACTGCCTGAAGTTGGATCCCTATTCCACCACTTTCTAATTGTGTAACATTGGGCAGCTTAGTTCACCAATCTGTGTTTCGGTTTCCACGTTTATTAAAAGGGAATAAAAATAGCACAAATTTCATACAGTTGTTTCGGAGGTTAAATGAGTCAGTACATATAAAGCACTTTGAACATACCTGGCACATATCCCTCCTATGCTCAATACCCAGCAACGTTCTCAAATAGCCCAGTTATACTCCCACCTTAGGGAACTTGCCCTGGCTATTTCTTCTGCCTGAAGTGTTCTTCCCCAGAGAGCCACTTGGCTAAATCTCACCGCCTTTAAGTCAACTGCTTAAATGTCACCTTCTCAATGACTACCGTTTTAATACTTCACCTTGCCCATGTCCACTCTCCACTGCACCTGGGTGTTGTTGTTACGTGGCATCAAGTCAGTTCTGATGCTTATTGACCCTGTGTACAACAGAACAAAACACTGCCCAGTCCTGTACCTTCCTCACAATCATTGCCATGTCTGAGAGGATTGTTGCAACCAGTGTTAATCCATCTCGTTGAGGGTCTTGCTGATTTTCGCTGACCCTCTAGTTTACCAAGCATGATGTCCTTCTCCTGATAACATGTCCAAAGTACGTGAGACAAAGTCTGTGGCCATCTTCACTTCTAAGGAGCATTCTGGCCGTACTTCTTCTAAGACAGATTTGTTTGTTCTTCTGGAAGTCCATGATATAGTCAATATTCTTCACCAACACCATAATTCAAATGCATCAGTTCTTCTTCTGTCTTCCTTATTCATTGTCCAGCTTTTGCGTGCATGCGAGGTGATTAAAAAAACCATGGCGATTAAAACAAATACGTCCATTTGCAGTTTAAGTGAACTTGCTACTATAGGACTCACAAATCAAATTACAAAGTCCCTGGGTAAACTTTCATTGAGCGACTTGTCTGTTCCCTTTGCAGCCCCTTCCAGGGCCCCCATGACCCCTGCCACACACGTTGCCCTGAGAGCCTCTTCCTATTCAGGACATTTGCCTTCCAGGGTTTCGTTTCCAGGAAACATCACTTAACTTCTGGGAGATTCATTCCAAAACTGGGGTGGTTTACAGCTTTTTGTCCTGGGGCTACAAATCTTGAAAAGTGTATAAGGAAGTTTAAGATGACAGGAAGACTCAGTAATTTAAGCTCTTGTGAACCTGGCTTCAATTAGTTGCTCAACTCTGTTCTGTGTAGTGGACTATGGTGTGCTCTTCGAAACAGTCAGTGAATCAATTAAACTTTAAACAAAAAAAAACAGGGAGGGGGATGCTTATGAACCTTTAAAAAAAAAAAAGCAAGATTTTTTAAGTCCTAGAGAGGAATGATTGAAGGGAAAAAACAAAAATGTTTTAATTTACCCAACTGGGTGTACTTATTAAGAGTGTGTGTATGTGTGTGTGCATGTGTGTGCGCATGTGCAAACATACACGGGGACACACACACACACTTTGGCTATGCTGTTCCACTATTTACAAAGCTTAACAGCCACTCCTGTTTCTGTTGGCATGGATAGAGAAGCATCCATGTAGTTTTCATTACGTTAGAATCAGGCAAACATGGGCTTGAATTTGCCTGCCAATTCCTAGTGGTGTGCATTGGGCAAGTGTTTT